TTGGTGTTGAGCAGCTAAGCCTAATCCAGCAACTGGCTGGACTGGTGGTGCTTCGCGTTGCTGGCGTCCGTTTTCATTTTCCTCCATCGGTAACAAATAATGTTCCAGCTGTAGTAGTCGTCCAAAAATACAACACCAAGTGCGTACAACTGTCTTCAAAATCGTACGGGCATGAGTCTGTTCAAGTAGGGCTGGAAGTACTACCTGCAATTTGTTCTACAATTCATTACATGGAAATACGTCAAATAACTAGCTGAATTCGAAGTATAATCAAATTACCTGTAAAACAAGTAGCTCCAGTGACAGCTCGCTGACAGGAGTTTCGGCAGCCAAACTCAAATTGAATGGTAGTACAGATGGTATATAGCGCGTTATGAAACAAAGTGGAACATAAACCAGCAGAAGAATTGTTGTAAAGAAGATTGATGTTGATGCAATAAGTCGCCTTAAGTGTCGTATAACCGGAAGTTCAATCATCTAAATATTTAAGTTATAATTTACGAAAAATATACTTTAAGTACTAGAAAAGTTGAATGAACAGATTTCTTTAAATTTTAGTAGCTCAAAACGCATTTTTACATTACAATAATATCAGAAATAGCTTTCCATAACTGCATAAAAAAAATAACTGTATAACATACCTCTTGTATCGGATTGAATTCTGGGTCATTTAAATTTCTCAAGAACCAGAGAACACCTGGACGAAGCACTTCACGCAAAACCAGCACAAATGAAGCCGAGTAGAAGACATAAACCATACCAATAAGCCAATGCATAAAAAGGGATGATGTTGGAGAGACCATAAAAGAAGCAATCCGACGCGACAGACTTGAAGCAAATAAAGGCTAAAATATAAAAAAAGATACAAATACCAGGAATGTTGTCTTGTATAAGAAACAAACAGGAGCATGTCATTTGATCAATTATCATATATTTCATATTCTCTCACAGAGGTAACAAAGTGTAATTTTGTAGAGACCAATGAGCTAAAAAAGAAAAAGTGCTAAAACTATGTATAACATACCAGAGAACAGATGTCTAACCACCAACCACATATTATTGGAAAGAAACCAATTTCGGTCAGTACGAGGAGAAAAACTTTGAGGACAAGGTAACACATTCCCAATATTCGATACATTCTGAAGAAAAGAAATTGAGTTAAAAAAAATTCTTCTAGGATCTCCTCTTTTCCGAAATATTTAAGAACAACTTACGGAGCTAATCTGGAGATTTTCGCTGTAACATGAAGACAGCGAACAATTAAACTAAGAATAAAATATCCGAGTAACACAGATGTAAGCGTCGGAAAATAAGCGATTCGAGATGATAATCCAATAGCTTTCAGAAAAAAATGACCAAGCTGATAAGGCAAGAATGCTGGAAATGTCATAAAAAATGCAATGCATATATAAACACAATATTGCAGACACCTTTACCAGTTCCGAGTCCTTTTATCCTTTTGATAATTTAAATAAGCGTTCCAACATAATAATAATAATAAAACATGAAACACATACCGAATAGTACGGTAAATAAGGTATTCAGTGAAATAACCCAAAAACATGTTCAAGAAACAAAAGTGATCCATCTAGGCCAAGGAGCCTTTGCCAAGTTAACTCATCCGCTACTCTTTCCCATTCTCTCCAGTTGTCATTATCTGCTTGATCCTGAACTGCAACATCTTCTTGGCCTTGTTCCGCATCATCTCCTCGCTCTTCTACTTCTCCTCCTTCCATATCGTTACCAGCAATTTCAACCCTTGCTTCAGCAACCTAAAAGCTTCTTAAAAACGTTACAATTTTTTAGAGGGTATAAAACTTTATTAACGTGGTCCGAGTCAACTCTTCAACCATTTAATCATCTACCGAAAATCACAAATTCATGCATTGAAAACGGAACACTGTATTCAACAAAAACCACTTAACTAACCACGGCATCAACATTATCATCCAATGCATTTTCTGCATTCGCACCTCTAGCAACATCTTCTAAATTAAGCCATTCCTGTGGACCACCATGAATAATTTGTTCGCGTAACCAAACAAGGGATATAAAAGCGCATAGAAAAATCGAAACAATAAAGCAACCCTGAAGATACGACGATAATGAATTATTAAATGGTTATATGAAACACATATTAACTAGGTTCCGTGTCCTCCACATCTTTTCATGAATACTGCAAATTCTAAATATACTAATTTTGCAATAAACTTTTATCTGGAAAAAAGCCAAAAATCATAAAGAACTGAAACATCTGTACTGTCACACCTACAATTTTTCGTACATTAATGCAAAAATCTCAGTCACTTAAAGCAACGAGCTAGGAAAGACTCACTTATTTCACTACCCATTCTACCAGATGAAAAGAGAGGTATAGCTTTTAAAATAGAAATTTCAAACTTATTCAACTCAATTTCTATATTATGATAACAGTAGTAGTTGGGTAAAACATTTTCTCATAGTTTTTTGGGTTAAAAATCGCATTTCTTATGACAACTTACTTTAAGACAATCGACCAGCAAATTGTCTGGTGAAAACAGTTGAAAAGGCAATGATAACATACTGGATAAAGAAGCGGAAAAAACTATTCTGTAAATGCGACAGGCTGTTATTGGTACAATACCTAACCAAGCAACCAACACAAGTGTGTAAATAGCCCAGGAGCGTAATATACGACCCATATTAAGCAAAATGCCTAAAACAATTCGATAGATATAGCAAAATGCAGTACAGAGGGGAGAAAACAATGGTGCATTTTGTAATAAAAAAATATCTTCCTTCTATATGGAAGATATTGTTCGAGACTTTGTTAATGCTCGACCGCATTTAATACCCATAAGACTCAGGATAACGCATTCTTAAAACTCGGAAAAATTTTATTTCAAATGAAGAGGATACATATTCTTGCTAGAACTGGGTTGAATTTTAATAGATATGCTATAAAAAAATAAGCAAAACTTTTCATGAGACTCAATATTTTTAAAACATTTGAAATATTAGAATGGACCTCGTATTATTTCAGAAAGTGGCAATGTTTGAGGCATATCTGATCGATAAATGGGTTGAAAAGAATATTTGTGGCTACATAATTCACAAACTTCCTTCTTGCTGTATTTCAGCCATTCTAGAAGACAATCCTGATGAACATATTTAATGCTTCCCGTGCATAGACACGGATAATATAACGCACTGTCGCCGGCACTTCTGCAAACTCGGCATATGTCTGAAATTAACAAACACGCATTTCATTTGCCATCAATACTTTCACTGATACTACACTCATTAATTCATTACATTATTCTTCTGATTATCCCAGCAATTCGATAAACAGCACTTTTCAAGCAAAATGTTTATTCAATCTAAAGCATTTTCCGAAATGTTTATGAAGCATCAAGAAAGCACCACAAATTTTTAACAATATTAATATTTAAGAAACTTTATATTTGACAACCAATGTTCTCGAGAAAATTACAGCTGATTACGATGCAAAAATTTTTTTCCTGCTCACAGACTTTCGCTCTTTTTCAGAAAAGATTTGTAGAAAAATTTTTGGAGAGAAAAAATAAAAATAACCAGTAGTTTCGCCATCGTCCACCATTTCTGAAGTGCCAGCAACGGGATTCAGTGGAGCATTAGTTGAACTGTTGTCAACGCTTCCCATCAATCTCTCTCGAATTTAATGTACAACCTGAGACTAACTGGAACGTTTTAATGATAATAACGTCTGTAGTCTTTCTCATTATCAATAATACCTCAATTAAGCGTCACTGCACCAGACATACTTAATTCAATCCATTATAATCTGCATGATAATAACGGATAAGAAAAACAAAAGTATGAAATGTATGAAGAGTGAGAAAGCAAAAGTGTACGAATATGCAAAACAACTCATTATTCTCAATTCCAATCTAACCCTCACGCAGTGATTACACTTAAATAAATACAAATAAAAAATAAACTATTCATCTGTTATACAGCTTTTCATGTAATCTAACAGTTATCATCTAAACAATAATAACTATAGTTGGAAAAAGTGAAAAAATTAACTGCGACTTTCCATATGATTGGAAAAATATCATTAACTATTGTGCCATTATAAGCAATAGAGCAACAAAAAAATCATTGCTCTTCCATACAATACAATCAAATACTACTACTCACTACAACAAACTGTTCCCAAAATACTTATAAATACTTATATGTAGTTAACTTACTGAAGAAATAACTGAAGTAAAATATGCGAATGACTATATTTAAAGTTGAAGTTAACACTAAAAAAAATGCGGACTACTACAATTCAAATTAAATAAATGACGTCACTAACCTCGACTGGAGGTTTGCCAGCTGTTAAAAATTTGCCGTAGAAGTCGACTATTAACAACAATTCAAAAATATTGACCTCAAATCCGTATATAACAAGTGTTTTACGGAAACCCTCACTTATACTCAGAGAACCGATTTCCAGCTCCGGTTTTAAACTATCAATAAGACAACTCAAAATCACCAGCCAAATTATATTATTACGTCTGCGTATCACTCAGTTCAGGACGTTATGAAAATTTTGAAATCATTCTTGTATTACTGGAAAAGTTTGCGTACGTAATCAGATGAGCGTGGTAACGTGATGAAAGCTATCTTATATTGGGGAAGGAAACTCATTGCTAGTTTCGTTTGTGTCTGCATCTATCTGCCGGGTATTTTCCTTTCCAACGGCGTACTGTTGTCATGGAGTTGACGTGCACACGTGTAACAATTCTATTTCCAACTAAGCAACAGTCGGCTGATGATAAAAATCAAGAAACAATTTAATTTAGTTCTGTAAATGTGATGCATACATTCATTCATCCATCCATATACGTATTTCCACGCATATAATCTCGTATGAAAGCATAAGAACTAATTGTCAAGGTTTCCAGGTGTAATGGGTTCAACTAATGTTTAGGTTCTGAATACAGAATAGAGATGTATTTTATTTCCAATATGATAAGTAATACACAGTGATGGAAAAACATAACGAGAATTTTATGGAGAATTTAGAGAAGGCACCGATACAAAACGAACTGGCCTCATCTCCTCTGCAGCAAATTGATAATGTTCTTATTCAGGTAAGTATGCACTGCTTTCATATGTTACAGTTTTGTATTATCTGAAACAAGTGGCTGGAATTAGGAGGTGTTCATTGTTTTATATGTTTCCATTAGTAGGATAGACGGATTATTTGATGGATGGGTTTCGAAACTAGCTTGCCGATTTAATTATTTGCATTTGCTAGGACACATATGAAATCTCTAAGCATTTAATTTATTGACGAATTGTTGATGGTTCAATATCTCAAAACTGTACTTTTCTTTTTTTTGCGATATGTCTAGTTCTTTCTGATTTCTACGCTTTTTGTCCAGATCAAAATTTTGATTTTAAAGTCAATGATATTTAGAATTTGGAATACCCATGGAAAGATGTGGAAGATATGAAACCGACAGATTTGGAGTACGAACTTTTTTGCGGTGCTTTGGAATCATTTTGTTCCAAACCACTGATTGAGCTTATGTAAGTCATTCTTAATCAGTTTGATTTGATCATAAAATTTGATGTGCACTGTACCACTGCATGCTTTTATTATCAAGACAGCATACTTTTTTTGTCAACAGTATAAGCTTTCTCAATTTCCAGTGACGACTGGACAATTTCTATGGAAACTATCTTACCAACTATTCGAAGCAGTATACGAATTTATACCAAAGCTGCATCCTGTGAAGGCATGTGTTTGCAGCAAATTTTATTTGTAACTTAATATTAACTCTCAAATTTAGAAACCTTAAGCATCAAATAAACTTCAGCGTTTATAGGATTTATTTTTCTGAGGCACTCAATGCTTTGTTATCTTGGTAATTGCTAACTTTTTTTATTTAATTAAAACAGCTTACAGAAAAGGTACATGAGATGGATGTTGAATTAGCAAGATGGGTTGAATTTGGACTTAGCTCAAGTCGTTCTACATCGTATGCAGGAAGCAGTCAAATGGCTATGATCGGTTGTAGTCTAACCAAACAGCTATCAGCTATGCATGAAAAGGATTTGAGCGTGACATTTTGTGTATGCTTACTGAATTACATTGAATTATTTAACTAGTCGAACTAATTGATCTCACATAATCTAGTCTCTTAAATTTATTGTCAAGATTGATTACTATCGTGGAAACATATTTATAATATTTCGTGAGAAAGGAAAGTGGTAAAAAACGGAACTGTCTTCAGGCTCCCCAATATTTAAATTATATTATGAATATCATATCCTCCAAGCAGTACTGCTCATCAATCCGATGTGAAGCTGCGCAAGCACTTCTAGACATTCTTTTTCATCCATCAATATCCTGGAAATTCATGGTGACAGAAATTGAAGGGAATAAATATACACCATACGAGCAAGTCATACATCTTTTCATGAAACCAGAGGTTTGCACCTATCATTGCAGAAGTGATTGTTTTATTTTTCAGTGCACTTAGAAAGTATATAACAACTTTCACTGTTCTTGTCTCGCAGTGATTTTTTGGAAAGAGCTAAGAGAACAAATTTCGATTTGGAGGTTATATTGTACACTGAAGATACATAAACAGATAAGCCATCATCATTATTTTCCCTTACCCTTAGAATTTTGCAGGATGTTTCGCTGGATTTGTTAGGAGTACTTCAAAAAATCGCAAGTTATTTTGTATTTAAATACAATATTGATGTTGTAAGCAACCATGCACGAAGGTTTTTTATGGAGGAAGATTGTGATGATGTTGATACTTCTCAGCTGTTCTCATCCTTCAACATTCTGAACAACTTCTTTTCGAAAATAAGAAATGATTTCAGCTATATGTCATGCTCTGCACATCGGACCATTGTGAAAAAGTAAGGCGTGTAAAAATTAATGTTAGCACTTTAATGCAATTGCTATGAGTTTAGAAATTTCGCCAACGAACTTTCGGCATATATCAGTAGTAATATGTTAGGTAGTTTTACTTCGCATTCTAATGTGATGCATTTTATGTTCGAAGATTTGCCGGATTTGTTTTTATTCCTTAGTTGATAGATTTATTCAATAAAGTCTTTCTGACATAAAGAGTTTATGATTATTCAAATCAAAGGGTCGACCGTTAATACACAGTTCTATGGCATAATGGTCTTTTGCTTCAAATTTTAATTTATCATTCGATTAAAAAATTTGGATCTGATTTTTTTTAATTTTATTCCCTGGCACGATATTCCTTTTTTTAGTTGTTTAATTCCGCATATTTGTGTGCATGCTATATCACCTAATCAAGATACGAGAATAAGGTATTTGGCAGTTCGTTGTCTCCGATTGCTGTGCGATTTCGATGGTACTGATATTACTGGAGCGATTTTTCTCTCATATATGGGCACACAAACAGTATCATTAGTTGGACGATTATTACATCAAATTTCGGTAGTTTTGGTTTTTTCTTTCTACATAAACTTATTTTTATCGGTTTAAAAACTGGTTCATGCACACTACAACCTTTTGAACCTTTCAGATTCTTTGAATATATTTTTAAAATAAAACATTTACAAAGTAAAGTAGTTTCTGCAACTCTGTTGTTATTAATTTCATTTGCATTTGAATTTCATCTCAATATTTATAAATCGGCTTCCTAAAATTATGGCGTAAAGAAATTTATTTTTAAGGAAGATAGCAAAGAAAAGTCATTATTACCTTACGCATTGCGAGCAATCGTATTAGTTGATCAGTTTATTGCTGCCGATGAGAAGTAAGTTTTGGTTTTTTCGTATTTGAATTTGTCTTCAATTTAAATTAGATTAAATTTAAGCATTTAGATCTTTCTTCAACACTGGATTCTTTCTGGAACTTCAGTTTAAAAAATATCTCATTTCAATAATTTCAGGTGTATTTCAGTAATCGATGCACCTGAGCGTGTAACTGTTCTACAAAATATGTTGCATATGTTATTAGTCGAAGAAGGACGTCTTGCGATGATTTCCGCACTATCATTTGGAGATAATCTGAAACATTTGTTACATATATGTGATCTTCAAAAATCAGTATTAATACTCGAAGGCCATATCGATGATGACATCAAAACGAGGTTTAGGCAAACTGCTACTTACGGATATTTGTGTGAAATTCTATTTGCCTTAGCACGAAATCAGTCTAGTGGAATATTTTGGAGAAGGCATGGTCCAGAAATTATTAAACTAATCGATTGTAACCTCATCTCAGCTGCCACATCATTGAAACACTGGCTGGAACCATTTCGGGAGGAATTAGCACTTGGGAGAAATATAAATACGTTAGATTTCCTAACGACGAGGTTTGAAATCTCAAAAATTTATGCAAAATTAGTTTGCCAGGATAGAAACTAGATTATTAAATTATTTATCTAAAAGATTAGAATTAGGCGACTATGTAAAACTATGTTTAATGTGATGAGACAAGTGGAATTTAAATGAAGAAGGAATACAAATTCATGGTACTTGTCGTCAACCGTAAAATTGTAGAAATTATAAATTTCAATCAAATTTTCTTTTCAAAAATATTAATGTTTTGTTGGCATAATCATTATTTTAGATTAACTTATCACAGTGAAAAATATGTGGAAGGTGATCCGCCGTTAGCATTGGTAACTCTACTACGTCTAATAGATGCAATACTGAATGAACCGGAAAATGTAACATTATTTGATGTCCCACCCGATGAAATTCATTTCGATTACTACGCAAAATTTTATGGGGATGGTGGATTAGAAAAAATTACACACGTATTAGATGTAAGCTTTTTTTTGAGGTGAATCATTTTATGTGACTTTCAGGATGAAAAACTTCCAAGTTTTTCTAAAAATTCATTTTAATTTCAAAAAAGTTTTGTAGATAGCAAATTGTCAACAGAGCAAACGAGTGCATTATCGATGCACCGCACTTACCGGTGATTCATACATTTATTGTCAGTTTGTTCGTTCAGCAACGAGCATTATATGCAAGCTATTATTGTCCTTACAAACTATCAACCAAAATCCTGATAAGCTGGTCATAGATACCTTGTTGAGGACGTATACACTCTGTTGTATGGATGAAGCATCTGGCGATCGCATAATTAGAGAAATTATTATAAATTCATTTTCATTATTTATTTTTCCAACTCTGTCAGATCGACAGAGATTACGGAAAACTGGTCAGCAGTCATTTCTAAAGCTTTTTTTGAATTCCGGTTTCGATAAACCTTCAAATTTCTTTGCTACGTTGGATATTTTGCTAAAATTATTCCCGCTTCCGTCGGATATGCTGGCAAACGTTGTTGGTATTAATATGCAGGAGGTAACTTCAATGGAAAAATTGCTGAGCGATCGTATTTTAGAAAACGGGAAACAGTTGCAGTTCGCAATTATGGTTATTATTTCAGTTTAATGTATTGGATTTATGAGATTTTTGAGTGAAGCGTTTTCTAATTTGAAATATTAATGCTATGTTTTTTTTTTTTTTTGCAGTTAGGTATCTCATCTTCGCAGCGACTGAAGCGACGTATATTCGACCTGTGTAAACGTTTGGCATATTGTTCCGAGAGTAATGCATTGCGTTTAATTGAGTAAGCAAATTTTTCTTAAGAACTAATCAACAAATTGTTATTTTTTGTTGTTTTCAAGATTGATTTCATCAAATTGGCACAAATGTGTATTTTGTATGATATATATATATATATATATACATATAATTTGTAATCAAATCTCTTTAAAAAACTTAAATATGGATCGATAGACTTATATATATATAATAAGTTCATATTAAGTTTTTTTAAGAGACTTTGTTTGATTATCTTATTATATGATTTTTTCAACTCTCCAGTTTTATTACAGTGAGTTTTTTGAAATACATTTTATGTGTGAAATTTACTTATTTATTCTTTCCTTTTATTTACTCATCATTTACGTATATTTTTATCGTTTTAAATATCTCACTTTTCTGACGCAATCAATCATCGAAATTATTTCTTTTTATAGTATTCTTATAAAGCAGAGCTTACGAATGTTAACGTCTTCGGCACATACGGCTATCGTTGATGCTTTTGACGACGATATTGTTGAGGAAGAGTCAAATGTTCGTTTTGGCAATGCCGTTGATCTTGTGACAGCCTCATTTTATGCATTCTTGGCTATCTGTTCCACAGAATTTGTACTTCGAAATTTTATGGTTATCATAATTTCCCAGCGCAAAAGTTATATTACTACATTGCTGATGTTCTTCAAACTAGCTAGCCCGAAAACTTTACCTCACGTCTCGTTCCAAACATACGTCATTGTAAGTTCTCAAATTTCCATTTTTTTTTTGTCGTAATAAACAATATAGACTATGTGCCTAGTTGGTTACTTATTAGTTTTACTCAATTTTCATCTTTATGAAAATATAATTTTCTTCAAATCTTTAGTAACGTAATATTTTTTTGCATTATATAAACAATTCTTTTTGAATGACAATTATCTTATGGCTCTTTATTTGTTTTTTGTACTGGTTTATTAATTTTTGAATATCTTTTCAGAAAATTTTTCGTAATCTTTGCGTTGCTGACAAAAATATTGATGGAAAAATCGATTGTTTGCCTAGTGATGTCTATATCAAAATATGTGACAGTCTTGTGGAACATTTTGGAAACATGCAGCATAATATAGAAACGATGATGCTGGCATTGGAAAGTATTTGCAGCATAGGACGTTCTTCAGCATTTGGTCGTGCTGTAGTAAGATTTAAGATTTTTTCAACTGTTTGGAATTTTTTTTTTTTTTTTGATTTTTCACATTCTGTGAAGGTCCGTATAGAGTCTACAGACACACCAGTAATTAATCAATAAACGATTGTTCAAATCACTGAACTGTTTTTCAAAAGCACAAAACTTGAATATAATGAATCCTTTTATAAGGTCTTTTTATTTTTAAATCTATAAAATCTTAACATAGAATGGTCAAATGGGTTGCCTTGTCAAAATTTCTGTTGTTATTTTCTGGCCAATTAGAAAATCCTCAACTTTATAAATTTGCAAAGCTTAAATATTTTTATATAGGTTAACAATGCTTTAATTAGTAACGAGGGTGCTCTGCTATATTTTACGGATCGTTTTTTGATGGGAGAACCAATCGACGAATTACTTCTTGAAGTCGCAGCTCAGCTCGTCGATCTTTTTGAAAACATTTTAAAAAAAGTAAGTGAAACAATTGTTATCGGTGGATTTTGAATTTAATCATGTTAGAATGTATTTGCTTTTTTTTAATTCTAGTTCATTTAAGACATGCTATATGAAATGCTTTTTTAAATTTATTATGAGTTGTTCATGTTTGCAGATCAAAAATAAAATAAATTAAAAAGCGACTGTTACATTTCTGCCAACCAAGATTACGAGTTCAGATATTTGACTCTTTCTTAACGTAAATTTTGATCTTAAATCCATTCTATGAGGTTCATAATCTAATTATTTTTTCAAATTTCTTTAATAATTTGTTTTTTTTTTTAAAAAAACTTCCAGGATTCAGTTAAATTTGTTGCAATGAAGTGGCATTCTTCCATCAATTCCGAGCAGCATCCTTTAGTGCGACTGAAAAATAAATTAACAGAATTAAATTGTTCAAAAGATTTCTTGTTGAGTCTGCAAAAAGCGTTAGATTCTTCGATTGAAGGAGAATCTGTTGAGGGTTAATTTTGACATTGTTTTTATTTGATATTTATTCGTTGCATTATAATTTGTTGTAATTTGATAGATATTATTTTGTTGCATAATTGCTTGCTTAACTTAAGGACACTTTGACTGTTAGAAGACTCTTCTGAATTTGTTAAAGAACGGATGATTTATGTTTCAGCAATACCAGAAGACTTGGAAACTTACGAATGGCCTGAAAATGTGACTGCTGTTCAGCAAGTTGATAGCCGACAAATAACAAATTATCATATAACAAATTTATTAGACTTGTAAGTTATTGATTATCTTATTTATTTCGTTATCAGTGTTAGACAATGATAAAAAGACGAAAGAACGCAATTTTTAATCAGCATGTTATTTTACTGATTCTTTTTAAGTTCAAAAATATTGCTTATTTTCTTCAAACAAAAATCATAGCTCAGAAACATATTCTTCAAACAAACAGGAAGTATAGTTCAGATACTTTCTTCATGCATAAGTCATAGCTCAGATATTCTCTGATTTTAAATTAAAAATTATTTGAAGCTGTATGATTTTTTGGTTGAAAGATTTGGATCAAAAATTTGAAATATTGCAATATTTGTTTACTTTTCGATCTTTCCATTTTGCAGCGATAGCAAAGATTTTCATAATAGTGCTACGCTTTCCACCATTGATTTGAATATGCTCAATGAAGAGTTTTTCCCAGATAGTGTATTACTTTCTGCAAAAAAGTTAGTGTTTATGAATGTTCTTTAAAGGTGTAATAACGTAAAGTTTTCATTGCAGCAAGTAAATTCATTTAATGAATAACTGTGAGAAGACAGTGGTTGGGCATGGCTATTGTTCTGTGAGGCTGAAAATCATTTCAATATTATGTTTATCATCGAAAAGTTTTTGTAGCTAGAGAGGTCATAGTCTAATATTAGTCGCTAAAATATTAGTACCTGATAATTTTAAATCCTAATGGAGCAAAGTAGGTTCAGTTATCTTCACGTTTTATTTCAGATCAACATTTCCAGTTCAACTACAAAGTATAAATCCGGTGAGTTTTCAATCGTGTATGCATTTTTTTTTTCGGTTTGGCTAGGTGTAATGACATTTTGCTTTCTTGCTTAAATCAATTGAAGATTTAATTAAGACTCACTTGTGAGGAGCATTACAGTATATGAATTACATAACATTGGTTATTGATATGTTTAACTTGATCGAAATAGTTAACTTGAATGACTGTTACAAAAAAAAATTATGCAACTTTAATTTTTGCAAAATAAAATTACAATAAATTTTAGATACAAAAATGGAAGACGTTTAATTTTGAAGGTCCGAAAAGGTTAGTTTTATTTATGATACTCTTGTATTTATACATGTATATTAGCCTTTCAAATATCAACGAAAAAATTGCAGGAAACGTCCTTATGCGATCAAAAAATTTTGATGAGACCAAAAATACGTCATCATTAGTTATAGAAAGAAATGGTTTGTTAATTTATTTCGAAAAGACTTCTGAGGGAAGGAGGTCAACTGAAAGAATATTCACTTATCCAGTTTCACGTTCTTTACGCTCATAGCATTTAAGCAACTATTATGAACATACAAAAGACGAAATCATTCCATAAGAAGTTATTCTCTGTGAAAAGTTTTTATGACGAGTTGTAATGTGCATAATAAATACTAATTAAATAAATAATTAGCAAGTTGCGTTGCATTTTGTGCAAATGAATTAGTAAACAGACGTAGAATACCTTTATAGCACACACTAAAGTCATATTTATGCATGCTGAAGTGTAGTGATAAGTATGAGACTTTTCATTTAAATTTGAATCCTTTTTACTTCAAGAAGTTTGGAACTAAAAGCAGATAGTATTGGCAGTAATCACGTATTTCTTTTGCTGATTTTGAAAGAATCAATTAACAGTATTTTGTCATCGCTGGTTCCGGAATGTTCTTTTTTATTTCCTCTGAAAATTTCGTTAATTTTACGAATCGAAAAACTGAGAATTTTTGTAATTGTATATTCAGATGGAACACTGATTGTGATAAATGGATGAAATAATTTTAAAAAAAGCAAATGAAATAAAAGGGTGTTACTTTCTAAGCACTGTCAACATTCATTTATATTTGCAGTAAAACAAATGACAATGAGATCTTATAAAGCAAAACGTCACGTTTTTTATAAAATTTTTCTTTAAAATTAATTCATACTTGTGATACGTGCCTATTTACTACATTTTACATTACAATTATAGCAATTTGTGTAGTGATAGAATTTAGTATTACTTTACTAAACTTTAAGAAAAAAAAAACCTTTTAAAATTAATCTGTGAGATCTCATATCTGCACTTTTCATATTTGTTAAAATTATTATCCACAGGATTCATGATAAGGATTCAAATAATTAAGAAGTTGACAAGTTGTATGTGTATGCATGTCATATCATTCTATTTTATTCATCCAAAATATTGCACACAGTGTTGACCTTTGCCATCGTGGTTGGTTGAGTTTGTTAACACAAATGATATGTATTCATTTAATTTCATAGTCTTTCATTGTTTTTGTTAATAATTTTACCACCATTAATCCACTCTTCCATTTATTTTATTATTTTTTCATATTTATCAATTTACTATTTAAAGTTTCCTTTTAATGCTTAACAGTTGATAAAAGAGCGATTATTATTGGTCAAATATCACAGGAATTCAAATTAGTTCCAACTTGTTTCAAGTTTTTCCGGGATATTCTATTTATATGCGCATTCTCAAAAATATGACTGAAGTTAATGAATATCGGTTTAAATACAGTCCTTCCGGAAACTGTTACAGCTGACCAGTTTCAAAATTTTTTTCATTTGGTCATTATTTCAGTAGTGATGTTGAAATTAATGTTACCAATAAAGTAATAATTTTTCCGGAAGAATAATTTTTCAATATCAGTATTAGTTATTTTAATCTTATTCTACATAAATTTTGGCTTCTTTTTCACTTCATCTTAATATTTATGATAACATAATAATGTTCATTTGAGTCAATAATCGATGTAATATAAGTTTTCGTATTCCGGATATGGTAGTTGGGATTTCAATACTAATTAATATACAGGACTTAATATACAGGGAATATACATATTAATATGGAAAATTTAACAAAATTAGCTATCAAACACAACTTATCAATTTTCTGAATATTAAATCAAAAACACTGATAATGCTTAATCAAAATGCTTGTAGTAAGCTAATTTTATATTTCGGTTGCTAACAAATACATAAAATGTAAAAAATTTTAAGTTATAAATGGTTGGAAAAACAAAACAAAGCACAAGAAGAATGTAACAATCTGTTCGTAATAAAGATTATTCATTTTGAAATCTTTCTTTTCTTACTTATCTGTTTTTGTTTATAAATTTTTTTTAAGTGATAACTGAATTAAACTTAACAAAGAAACTAATCATTAATTCAAACTTTGATATTTCCCATATCATTTTTATTTTTATATGAAAATATATTTAAAAAGAAAATCACAATTATTCATTCTACAGTATTCATTATGCTATTGATTGCATCCTAATAGAATAAATTTTATGCTATTTTTACTTTACCTGATATTATATCTATTAGTTGAAATTGATTTTTTAATATAAAAATTAAATTATTACTGCTATAATTGTAATAATTCTTTCGACAGTTGTTTGCTTTATTTTTTACTTTTTTATAATTTGTTTATATACAAATTATCATTGAAAGATTTCAAATTAAAAGAAAAGAAAATTTTCTAAATCGTTTTAAAAGAAGCTAAAGAAAATTTATTGTTGAATATTTACGATAATAAAGATAGGAAGCAATATGATATGTAAGCCATCGTATTGCAATCTATTTTCTTTATCAGACTGGTGTTGATGTGGAAGTGGAACACGACTGGTTGATTACTTTTCATACATACTTTCACTGAACATGTAAATTGTAATAATGATTGAAGAAAATGTAAATGAAAGAAAAAATAATGAACTTACTCATTCATCAAAAATTATTAATTAATATAACACAATAATTACAAATCACTGAGAGTTTTTTAATTTAATGAATATTAAATATTTGATCATTAGTATTGTAAATTTTATCAAGTTAAACTGAAATTAATCAAATTAAATTCTTTTGTTTGTTTTAGATAATCAAGCTTTTTTTATGTTATATTTTTTGATTTTATTTTGAAAAAAGGAATAAAATTGATGCAAGATTTTCACTTTCAGGCATTTTTAAATATATCATTTTATTAATTGCATATCCACATGAATTCAATCCTTGATCATGATTTCATTTTAAAAGTTTAGATAATGAATAAAATTTATTAACTTATATATATTTCGTTCTTAAGTAAAAAGAAAGAAGCTTAGAAAAAGTATAAAAAGTTAACAAACAAACAAACAAAATACAAATTTTAGTTGCTAATTATATTTACGTCAAAAAATATGGGAATTTTTTAGCATCTATCTATCATTAACTTGTCATGTCGTCATTATATTAAATCACAAACCTTCTTCTCTTCTCTCCTTTTCCCTTCTTTCATTGTTTTTTTAAGAGAAAAAAAAAAAGAAAAATGAAAGTACAGGAAAAAAAATTGAAATAATACAACATGTAAGAGATTTTCAACCAAATTTTTTCATTCATTCATTCATTCATTCATACAAATTATGTATGAAACAACAAAAGTATAAAAATAATTATTGCATGTTTGTTTATATTTTCACAAGAATATTAATTAATTAATTATTTAATTATGTAAAATGTAGAAGAAAAAACGAAAACATTTTATATTATATATTATTCTCCCCCATCAAATGTTTTATTTTGAATTTATTCGAAATATGAAATTATTATTTTTACATGATTTTCTCATATGGAAAAACAAGTTTCAATTCATCATTTATGAGATAGCCATGATTGCTCGTTTCCCTCTTAAACGGGTTTCATTTTTATTTTTTTATTTTTTATTTTTTATTTTTTTTTTTGACGAAAAAATTACTTGCAAGAGGAACTGGTTCGATAAAAATGTGATCTGTCAGAAAAGGAAATAACTTTGATCTTCAGAAATTATAATAATGAAAAACGATCCGAATATTTCTTTTCCTTTTTTTTTGTTTTTGTTTATTTACTTTTTCTCATAGCCTAAAATCTTATCCCATTTATGCTATCATAACCTAAAATTACTTTTTTCTTCTTAGCACATTTAAAAAATTCTTCAGTACTCTTTTAAAAATTGCATCATTTTTGCATTGTCTACTTTTTCGTCTTCATCTTTCATTTACACTCTCTTCTTTCCTTATTGCTTCTTTTTTTTCTCCCATTATTCTAGTTTCTCTGTTAAAATATTCTCATTCATTCTTGACATTTTCATTTTTGAATTATAATTTATGCAATAAATGTGCAATAATTTCAGAGTTCAAAACTTCAATTTAAACTTACGATGATAGCAAGCAAATAAATTCTGATAATGGAGTGAAAATTTGATAGTATAAATTGCAAGATAAGATAACTTCGATAGATATGAATGTTAATTTTTTGAGTTGTAACTCGTCAAAAAAGTGGAAAATAATAGTTTGTATTTCGAGTTTTACAAAAAAAAAAAAAAAAAAACTTTCCTTTACTCTCTGTGTTACATACAGAAAACGCTTACTACAAATCGTAGTTTCTAATCATTATTCATTTGTATTTGAGAAAAAAAAAGAAAACGAAAGAGGAAAATCAAATTTACAAATTCATTCTCATACACATATCTTTAAGTCATTTCAAAAAAAGTTGTCAATTTTGTTTCTGATGAATATTTAGACAACTGATTTCCTCTCCAAGCTCGTACCATCATTATCATATTTCGTCCAAAAATTCCTTTGCTTTGCTTTGGCTTATCTTCTTTTTAATATATTATTCTAGCAAATTCATTCACCAAATATTTATATCTAAAATTTTAACATTAAATTTATTAATCTTTTTGTTTTCTTTTTCGGGAATACTTCATATTTGTTAATCTGATTTGCTTCTCAAATTACTTCATTAAACAATTCATTACTCAAATTTCAGTGAATGCGATATAAAAGTTAAAAGATGTGACATAATTTACATTCAAAAGTCTGAATTTTCTTTTTCTTTTTTAATAGTAAGACATCCGTCTTCAATTAAATTCCAATACTCGTGCATTTCTCATAAACAATTCATCCATCCATGCATCACTCTTCCATTTATCCGTTTCACTCCTCCATTCGGTCCGTTTATTCATCCATTCATCCGTTCGTCCATCGCACTCAGCGTCTGTCCATTCATCACCGCAACACTGCCGGAAAAGGGCAAAGCAGACAGAAAGTTGCACCTAGGAGACAACAAGAACTACGATATACATTTATTTATAAGCGATCGATACACACACACACACACACACACACATGTATATATAT